TGTATATATATTAAAAAAATCAAATCTAGAAACGCTTCACTAACGGTCAACACAAAACCGACCAAAAACACGCCCGTTAAACTTCCAGCGACTTCTTTGGAGGGCCAGAAACTACAAAAACAAAATAATCATGATCAAGTAGCAGGTTTCCGGTTTGTCGCGCACTAAACATATAAACCATCAATCTAATGAAAGAGATAAGTTTCACCACCTGGATACTATGATGTAATATTAACCAAATAAATCTCAAAATTTTCCATTGTAAACTAAGAGAAAAATAACAGCAAAATTAACAAAATACGACGAGTAAGAAGAGGTTAATTTGCCTTGTAACCAACAAAAAACAACAGAAACAGAGACATCCACGCAATGATTCAAATACTAAATTATCAGAAAGTAATGTGACTGTTACACGAAGTAAAATCTAAAGCTCCAAAAAAGAAGAGATCCACAACAGGAATCAAAACACTACTCATTTTTAAGCTTATTAACACATCTACTGTAAACAAAAATCCTAACTCAGAACTGGTTTACAGGCCATATCAACTCAAAAAATAAACCCAGCAGCTAAAATAACAGAAAAAGTTGAGGAAATAAGTTAGAGAAAGACAGTGAGAGACAGAGAAAGAGAGGTTCAAAGCAGTCCAGCTAAACAGAATAGAGATAGATACCCGATCTCCCACCTACTAGCTCACAGAAGCACGATTTGACAAGAAGGCATAGCGGGAATCACATGATCACCACAAATTCACAAAAACATAGCTAAAACAAGAGTAGAAAAACTAGATCCTTACAATATCAGGCCTCCGCAACGCCTTGAACAACAAAAATCCATATCACGAGATTCAAATCCCCATCCTCGCTGCTTCAGAGTTTTTTTCAAAAAGACTCCGATGAGCGTTAGATCTAAACCTACAACACCCGGTCTTCTCTCCCCCTCTCTCGGCGCTGTCAGTCAAAGAAGCCAAAGAATACTCTGCAGGCTTCCCGTCCTGCACTTTTATCATGGCTTCTTTTGACCGTTCAACTTGCAACCCATATGCTTTTCCCTGTGCCGTCCGATGCTGGCTATTACTTTTTCCGCCATAATAATAATAATAATAATTAGCTTTCTCATATGCATCGATACATTCAAGGCACCCTTAATTCGATAAACATTGTTATAAAGAGATTATTAAAAAATGTTGATTTATTATGCAGTTTTTAAATAAAGATTATAAAATTATGAAATATTTAATTAAATTTGCTTACTGTACTGCAGAATGAAAATCTCAATTATCTTAAAAATAGATAAATTATATGTACGATGAATATCCATTCGGATGACAAATTAAATTGAGTATCAAGTAAATCATGTCAGCCTCGACGCGATCCTTTTGGATAGATTAGATCTTAGTTTGGTGCATAGGATCAAGTGGATCAAGCGTTTGATCACGGACAGTGTGTGCTTTTTGTCTCTTTAGGGAATATAAATTGATGTCATCCATTTTTGTGCATTAGAAACTGACGGCATATATTAGGTCAGATGATAAACATCAGAGGAGATCAACGCTTGGGATCGGATGTCAAAGTGAAAAGGGTGCCCAACAGCGAAGCGTTGCATGACGATTAACGGAGTACGAGGAAGACGTGATGGCTAAGTCAGCTAACACTTGGTGAATTCTGCTTCATAATGAATGGAAGAGACGACATTGAATAATCAAAAAGCAATGTCCTCGATGTAATTTTTTGACACCTTTAGCTTCAAATTCTGAATGACTAAAAGATTGATAGGTCATGCTATTATTGTTTGTATTCACACTGAAAATCAAACAGTTTTTGCTTTTTTGTTATACACGAGATTTAATTTTTCACTAAAAAAAAATTGCCTTCATAGCACCCGAAATTATAAATTTTATTTATTTAACACCCAAAAACTTAACATAACAGAAATATCACCTAAAATATAATAATGTAACAGATATACTATTCCAACTAAATTCGTCAGCTTACTAATCCCGTCAACACCGTCATTACCCAGAAACTAGTTGAGCTCTTTGGTTGGGGCGGACCAGAACATTGAGAAAGATGAGAGTTTTGGAATTCCTTTTACACTGAGATCTGGTCATTACTTTCCCTTTCCTAACGGAGGGGATTCTTTTCACATCCTACCAGAGAGTAGATTATGCAAAATAATAGGTAATAGAAATCCTTCAACAATAGGAAGAATGGCAGACCATCAGAGACTCACCGACGGGGAAAAAACCACAATCTGTTGTTTAAGCTTGTGTAATTTTTTTTCCTTGTTGTGTGATCCACATCGCAATCCAATAAAGTCAAATCACCTGACTGGAGTAACTAACCCATGGCCTAGTGCTATAAAAGCCGCAAAAATCTTTTTCTCCTTGAAAGATGAGAAAAAGGATTAGGTAAACTCTGTAGAGGAATAAATCATGCTTCAATTCTCATTAATATCCACATTTTTTATTTATGTATTTTTAATTTTTATTTTTGATTTTGAAGCAATGAGGCAACAAAAAAATTAAGTTTTGCTGCTGCAACTCAGAAAAAAAAGTTTTTTTTTTCTGTTTAAACTCTAGTTTCTGCTTACAAGAAAATATGAGAGTTGAAGAGCGAAAAAAATACAATTTCGTTGTCATTGTCGTCTTTGTCATTTTCTACTTACCTATATCAGGGCTTAAAGATTTTTTTCTTGATTTTTCTGATATTGATGCAAAAATACTTATTTATTTTATGTAGGCTAGCTTTAATCGCCTGAGAGAATTAGATCACAAAGGCAATGGTTTTGGGCGAATCTGGAGAAGGAAGGGGCATCGATGGGGATTTGGGCACAAATCGTTGTCAATTCTAACACATATTCTGATAGCTAGACAATTATCAGCCACTGACATCGAACACTACCTCCTGACAAAGCTGGTTGAACAAATCAGCATGGTCATTCCCAAGTCAAGGATTGATAATTCCTCTATAATGCAAGAACCTGCTCGAATATTATTGGATTAAGGCCAGGGATGTGCAAGATGTCGTCCTAGAACTTAATGTCCCAAAATCGGTCGCTTTTCTGTGTTGGAATTTGACGCCGGTGTCATTGAGCTTAATGACACAGCGGATGTATGATCTAAAATTCTTCCATTTCATTTTGTTCCTCCGCTCTCTACGACCTTCCTACTTAAGTCATTTTGAACCAGCATGATTTCTTTCTATTTTTTCCTCTGCTCATTGTCGCTTTCCCATTTTGATCGGCCACACCAATCATTCGCCTCACTTTAAGAGGATCGCAAGAATCCAATTTCACAACCCTTTGCAACCCTCTCCTTCCGTAATCTATGATCCCCTCCTCCCTCTCTTAGTTTCGCCCTAAACCATCACCTTTGTAACCAAACCCTTGCGATAATATCGTGATTAAAGCTAGTTTAGAAGGCAACAATAGGATCATGACAGACAGAAACCACCAAACTCTACATTCCTCTAATCTGAAACCTTTTAGGAATGCGATGTTCACATTTCTCCCCTAATTTTTATATATATTAACGGTTTCTTCATGCTATATAAAAGAAACAAAATTCTATTATTGTTACTAAATGATAAAACATACTTATAACTATAAATTCAATTATTGTTTCCAAATACCAAAAAAGTGGCTTAAAACTTATTTTGAAATATTAGAATTTGCATCTGAATCTCTTATTTGCACTAAAATAGCTATCTCTCATATTCTTGATTTTAATGGTGATGATTATCGTCTTACCTCACCTTAAGCAATTTTTGAATGATATCTTAATACTAATCCATTCCCCCCATGAATACTTACTTGATCGAAATATGTATGAAGCTATAATTGTCTCCCTTAAATGTGTTGAAATTTAACATAATTCAAGTGAAAAAAATAAATATTTTTCTTACAATAAAGCCACTATCTATAGTCAGATAAAAACCATCAAATATAAAATCCAGAATTTCAATTTAAACAAACTATTTCTTTTAATTATTGGTCTTATATTGAAGCTATGCCCAAAGCTTTTCTTGTTATTAATCTTCTATGAAAAATATTCATCAATGTTTGTAATGATGTTAGAAATCGTATCTAATGTCATTTCTCATTAGTTTTACTAATGAAGAGATAATAGTGGGGCAATAACTCAAATCTTACCATCTTCAATCAAAGCTACATATTCTCATTAGGTCAAATCTTCTTCTCACAATTAAAAATTTCAATAAATATTTTAATAGATAATCAATTCAATTTATATTTCTTTACGCAATGTCAAATTCTATGTATCTGCTCTTAGAACCTTGAAATACAAAATGATTCTTTAAATCGTAGAAGTTTTTGCAGAAGTTATGCAATGAAATGTTGGGTAGTCATTAGATCAAGGAAAAGGTTTTTTTTTATTAATAAAATAATCCAAGCTAATAAATCTAGCTTGCCAAAAAATCAAGCTAAAAAAGAATTTGCATTTAAAAATCTTATCAATAATTAAGAAGAAAATTTCCAAATGAGTCAACCAAAAAAAATTAAGGAAATATTATAGAATCATCTTGTTGAAGTATTTGAAGAAGAAAAAGAAGAAGATCACAAGACGTCAATGGAAAGTGATGATGTACCTAAAAATTGTGAGAAACTACAGATGGCACTCATCTAGAAAAAGAATATTAATCTGATTAACAAAATTTAATTGTGGACCCCACCATGATCTAGCATTATTAGAAAAGGCAATTAGAAGAGAATTTTTATAGATCAAGAGCATTTTAAAAGTCAACAACCAGCTCAAAAGTATCACCCACAATCTATTATTTCTAACGCCCATGAATTTACCTTTTGGTGATCTTATCTGTTGTTTTATGTTGAAAAAGTTTGGAGTCCGCTGGTTTGAATGAAGTCTATATAAAAGGGCATTATAATGTAATATGTGTGCAAGTTTGAAAGGTATAGTCTTTGGTATCATAAGTATAATTGTGTTTGGTGGAAATCCTTCCCTACAATCTGTAAGTAATTTTTATCAATAAAGTTATGTGTTTTAGTATTTTGTTTGGTTTTATATATCCTCAAGAAATAGGTATCAGATCCATGATAGGCTAAATATTCTTAAGAAACTCATATATGTAGAAGTAAAATAAATTTAGATATACTTGGTTACTTGATTTTACCTTATACTGGAAGTCGGGTTGAGTTCTTTCAAGCTCTATAAATTCTTGACTTTGTATAATAATAATGAAATTAACACTTTTATTATTTTAATAGAAAATAAGATATAGCTTGTAAATTTCTTAAAATTTTTGAAAAGTTTGGGATGGCTTGGATTTTGTCTTTAATTCAAAGTGTTGTGTCGATGTGTATGCCTGAATGCTATCTTCAAAAAATTAAAATTTTGATAGAAACTTAATACTAAGTTTGTATTTTGGCTGGAAACCCAACAACGTATGACTACTGGCTTGAAGGAGTTTGAAATAATACTGACTTTCTGATTGAAGAATGTCTTATATTACTCATTTCTTTAATTATTTTCTACTATAAATTTTTTTTTTCTTATTTAAATTTATCTTACATCTATACATATGACTCCTTTATGTTTTCTCTTGGCATCTAGTTCTAATTTTATTTATAATTTATCTACCTCATTTTCTATAAAAAAAATCAAACAATAAAAAATACAAAAGTAACTGCATATCCTCTTAATGAAGAAGATTTGAATAAATAGACAATTCCTAAACTAGAAAATGAACATTTGATTTTAAAGGAAAATTATCTTTTAAAAATGTAGAAAAATCAAGCACTATAAATAGAAATGAAAAATTCTTATTGTTATCATTCAGAGAAATTTTAAACACTTATTTTTAAATTTACAAATTTATTCATATAGGATTAATTCAAATGGCATTTAAACCTCTAACTCTAACATAATTAAATGCTTCCATCTTAGCTTGTTTAAGAGATGGAAGTTCTCAAAATTGGGCTCAATCGTTAGTGAGAATTTCAGAAACATGTTTGTTTCATGGTCCGATTCATTTTAATACGCATCTAAATT